CCAGCAGATCTGCTCCTGATGCTCTGCCTGAAGCCACTGGTGTCTGAGGAGCAGCAGGCAGCCCCCCCAGCTCCTGTGTCTCCCCACAGGCACTGCCTACGTGCTGACATGTTACTTCACCAACTGGGCCCAGTACAGGCCTGGGGAGGGGAAATACACCCCCGAGAACATCGACCCCAACCTGTGCAGCCACCTGATCTACGCCTTCGCCGGGATGAACAACAACGAGATCACCACTTATGAATGGAACGACGAGACCCTCTACAAATCCTTCAACGGCCTGAAGAACCAGTATGTGCTGGGAGCAGAGGGCAGGGCTTGTTCTCCCTCTGGGCCAGGGCAGGGCAGGGGACAGCCCCGCTCCTCTGAGCACGGGGACAGTGGCTCAGGGTGTTGGGGACCTGCTGTTCACGCTTCCCACCTAAAGGACAGGGCCTGGAAAGGCCACAGCTCCACCAAAGCCTTGCAGTAACACAGGTTGCTGTCCCTTCCTTTGCAGGAACAGAAACCTGAAGACCCTGCTGGCCATTGGAGGATGGAATTTCGGCACAGAAAAGTAAAATTCAAACTATCTCTTTCCAATAATGGTGCCCTGGAAAGGGAGGGAGAATGGAAGGAGGCCCCAGTCTAACCAAAACTCTCTCCTGCTCTGCTTGCCCAGGTTCACTACGATGGTTTCCACCCCCCAGAACCGCCAGACTTTCATCAACTCCGTTGTCAGATTCCTGCGCCAGTATGGATTCGATGGGCTGGACCTGGACTGGGAATACCCCGGCTCCAGGGGCAGCCCAGCCCAGGACAAGGGGCTCTTCACTGTCCTAGTTAAGGTGGGTTTGCTCAAGGCCTCTGCTTGGCACAGCTCTGGCCTGAGCCCCAGGCAGAGGCAAAGCCTGAGCCCAGAGCCCCCGGCTGAGCCCTGTTCCTTGGCATCCCTCAGGAATTGCTGGTAGCCTTTGAGCAGGAAGCCAAACAGACCAACCAGCCCCGTCTCCTGGTCACCGCGGCTGTGGCTGGAGGACTTTCCACCATCCAGGCTGGCTACGAGATTGCTGAGCTGGGCAAGTGAGTAGCAAAGCCTGGGATCACTTGTGGGACTGCACTGGTGTCCTGCAAGTGCTGCAGTCAAAGCTGCAAAGAGCCCCTGAGGGACCCAGATGTGCAGGAAGTGGGGCCATGGCCGGGCTGGGACAGGGGGTGACCGGCCAGCGCTGGAGGAACCGTCAGCTCTGGTGCCTGAGGGGGTCAGGGCACAGCCAATGCTCTCCACAGGTACCTGGACTACATCCACGTGATGACCTACGACTTCCACAGCCCCTGGGACGGCTCCACTGGCGAGAACAGCCCCCTGTTCAGCAGCGGCAGCACCTTCAGTGTGGTGAGGACATTTTGGGAGCCTCTGACACTGAGCTCCTCTTCCTGCCAACAAAGCCTGGCACTCACTTGAACCGTGGGATTTTTACAGGAATACGCTATGAACTACTGGAAGAACAATGGTGCCCCAGCTCAGAAGCTCCTGGTTGGCTTCCCAACCTACGGAAAGACCTTCACCCTGCAAAACCCCTCCAACACTGGGATTGGGGCCCCAACCTCGGGCCCTGGGCCAGCAGGACCTTACACCAGGGAGGCCGGGCTTCTGGCTTACTATGAGGTACGTGTGGCCCTCACCTCCAGACACCCAGAGCAGCACAAACCATCCTCTGTCTTCCCAACCAAGAGTTCTGACCCCAGGCAACATTGCACAGGCCCTTTTTGGCAGGTCACTCGCTGACTTGTCCCGCTCTGCCCTTCTTTCCTAGATCTGCTCGTTCCTGAACACCGGAGCCACCCAGGCTTGGGATGCCCCTGAGGACGTGCCCTATGCCTACAAGGGCAACGAGTGGATTGGCTACGACAACACGAAGAGCTTCAGTGCAAAGGTCTGGTGGGACGTGGGGCTGTGCTGGGAAGGAGGCAGGAGGCTCCTGCAGGAGCAGCTCCTGGGGCTGATCGGGATTTCTGCCCGGCCCCAAACAGGTCGACTGGCTGAAGCAGAACAACTTTGGAGGGGCCATGGTTTGGACCATCGACCTGGATGACTTCACTGGCACTTTCTGCCATGAAGGCAAATACCCCCTGATCTCCACCCTGAAGAAGGGCCTCGGTCTGTGACCAGCGGTGAGTCCCGGCAGGAACACGGCCTTGGTGTCCCTCCAGCAGCTCCAAAGGGCAGGGGGTGCTCAGAGTGCCCTGGGGCCATGGAGAGAGGGCAGGGAGGAGGGTCCCTTCCAAACAGAATCCCTTCCCAAAGGCAAACTGCTTCCTGCTTTCTTTTCAGGCTGCAAGATCCATGAACAGTCCAGTCCTCAAGTCCCTGTAGCTCCTAAACATGGAAGGAGCAATTCAGGGGACTGGCCATGAAGATTCCAGTCCTGTTCCAACCAACAGACCCCTCTGATCTAATTGCACACAATAAGAATGATTAAATAAAGCTTTCTGCAGAAGCAACAAATCTCCCTGTTTTAACTCATCCTGACTGTTTCCATGCTCTCGGCTTCCCAGCAATCCTGTGGGCTGTGCTTGGGAACAGCAGCAATTAAAAACGCCAACAGCAGGTGTCAATGTTGCCCACTCTTCCCAGCCCTGTGGATGGAGCGATTTTCTTGGAGTCTTCTGCTAACATTTCCAGAGGAAATGTGATTGCAGGGCAGAAAGCTCAGTTCTTGTTCCTCTTTATTTAGTCTCAAACAGAGATCTGGGATTAAGAGGAATTTTTTAGCACTTTCATGTAGAAATGGAGCACTTTGATAAATCCACTCTTTTTGGCCATCTCAAGTGTTTAAGTCACCTGCTTATCTATCTAACCAAGAATTTAAGCTCAGTTTCTGTCTCTTCTGCCTTTCCTTACCAGCACAATAAACATTTACCGCAGGAAAATGGGCTTGAGGGGTCAGTTTAAAGACAGAAACTAATTGGAGCTGAGCGGGACATGCAGGGGAAGGAATAGGCCATGCAAGCCAAAACTTGATTAGGGATGCATGGAGCATCATTTAATCATGGAGCCTGGTTAAAGAGGCCTGTCTGGGCCTCCTGTGGTGATATTGCCAGTCTCTCAATGGCTTAACAGCTTTTAATAACTGAGCTGTACTTGGGGACTACTGACCTTCTTAGATAAACTGTCCCCTCTCCAGGAGTGTGACAGAACAAGGGAAATACAACCACGGTGTCAGTGGTCAAATATGTGCAGAGCTGGCCCACATCCAGCCTGGTCTGTGTGCACTCGCTGGAGCTGCTGCCACTACAATCCAGTGCCTGTAAATGGAGTCAGGAAAAGGCTCCCTCCCACCTCCCAGTCATGGAACCCCCACACGTGTCCATCAGCACATGGAGCTGATGGAGCTGATGGGGTAACAGGAGCTGTGCAGGGAGGTGGCTGGAACACCAGCAGGGCTGGCATCTGCTCAGCTGCCTCGTGGAGGGCTTTCAGAGGGGTTTGGGAGCTGGCCTGGGCCAAATTTCTCTCTGTTCCTCCAAAACAGATCGTTTGGTGTGCCTGCAGGGCGCAGGTTGCAGCTGCCGTGGGATCCATCCCGTGGGAAGCCCTGGCTGAAGATCCAGCACCGTGTAACGCAGAGCCATGGAATCATTCAGGCTGGAAAAGACCTCCGAGGCCATGGAATCCACCCTGTGCCTGATGCCCACCTTGTCACCCAGCTCAGAGCACTGAGGGCCACGTCCAGTCGTTCCCTGGACACCTCCAGGGGTGGGGACTCCACCACCAACACGTTCCATCCAGCAAATCTCTGGCATCTGGTTTCGTTCAGATTCATGGCAAGAAAGCCTTAAAGCTCCTCGAATTCCCTCCTCCTGAAGACAACAGGTCTTGGCCAGGAGGCTCCACGCAGACACTGTTCAGGACAGCCAGGAGGGACTCATCTCTCTCTGATTCTCATGACATCAGGTCCTTTGTTGAAAGGTCTCTATTTTTAAGCTGTTTTCCCCAGTCCCAACTCCTTGTTCCAACGGCTGGATCTGCTCTGCTTCACACTGTCTTCCTCTGGCATTTGGTTTCCCTTCTCTCCACAGCTCATTGAGTGGAACTAAAGAAGTGCTGATTTTCAGATACCAACCATTCCCTGCTCCCCGGGGAGATTCCTACCTCCTGCATGCACATTCCCAGAAATACCATCTGACTCACTCTGATTACGAAATGCTGCAGCCATTTCCCACCCCTCTACTTCTAGAGTGTAGTTAGCTCACCTTTTGTCCCCAGGGATATTTTTTAGGGATTTAGAAGAGTTTTTTTCGTGAGGATTTGATGCAGTGCTGCAATTGCCCATTGTATATTCTTCCCTCACAGCACATCTTTCATCTTTCCTCTTTCTCTCCTGGCACTAAACTGCTATAATTAGGCTCTGTAAACGAATCTCAAGCTTCTCTGATGTTGTGAAACACTCAAACTCGATTTCTGACCATCCTGTTCCCCAAATAGACCTTGACTCTGCACTGCAGGCATCTCCCTGACGTTCCCTGGTGCTCGGGGTGGAGGCAACGCGTCCCCCAGCTCCCTGTGGTGGTGAACTCCAGGGATCAGGGTGCTCTGTCTGCCTGGGAATGGGCTGCAGATCCTCCCACCTAGCCCCATATCCAAGTGCTAGTCCCTACATTATTGCCTGGTCTGTTGGCAGGTGAGAACAGGCCTTGGAAAGGCTCCTGTGTTCACCTGAGACAGATCCACAAATCCCTCACCTGCACGTGAACGTCTGTGCCCCAGCACAGGTGGGTGCAGGTGGGCACAGGGGGCTGCAGAAAGGTTGGATGTGCAGGGATGGACTGCACAGGGGTGTTATTGTAGCTCAGGAAATACCACATGGATAACTGGAGCTTCCTTTCAGCTGCTCTGGATGGTTCGTTATTTTTGTGGACCTTACGTTCCATGAAATTTTTTTCATAGTCTGATCTTTCAAAAATTGGATTTATTAAGGCATTTAATCTTCAAAAATCCACTTAAGATTGGTAACGCATATTACAGCCTGAACTAATATAATCTATTACTTAGGAAAATGTCAGCCCTGAGCACTCAGATCTCCAACTCCCTGCAGTCAGGGTTCCAAGGGGCAGGTTCAGCCATGGAACATGACCTGTTTTCCCCATCCATCCCACCCCGACAATCCCCATTATCAGGAAAGAACCAGATGCCCTGGATTGGGAGCTGAGACAAGCTGGGAGTGCTGGGGACTAATCCTTCACTGAACTGTGGCTGCCACTGGGCTGGACACGGACGTTGGGACACTGTCCTGCATCTCATCCAGTGCTCAGGAGCTCTGGTCCTTGCCAGGACCTCAGAGCAGGGAGCAGGAACTTCCTTTCAGCCCCGTCCTTTTCCCTCTGAACCCTTCAGAGGATGCTCTGCCCCCACACCACCATCCCAGCTCATCTAATTACTTACTAAGCTCTTTTTCTGGTTAGCCAACATCTGCCCATTTCCAATTAATCCGTGTTCACAAGCTCAATAACCTGAGCCATCTGGGGAGGTAAGAGAGATAAGCTTCCCATTAAACATTTACAGGACACAACAGGAGTACTGAGGCAACTGTTGCTGAGACAACCCAGGCAGGGAGGGGGAGCAGCTGATCCTGTGCCTCCAGCGGCCACCGTGCCAGGGAACCAGGAAAACAAAATTTAGGGGTCTAAAAACAGATGTGGACCCTCACACCCCCTCCCCAGGGCACCAGCTCCTCTCACTTACACCCACGAACGCCCTTGCTTCATCACAATAAAGGTTTTTAAAATAATTCAGTAGCATTTCGGGCCCTGGAAACCCAAGCAACCAAATAGCCTTTAAATTAAACATTCGGTCCTGAAGCAGCAGCTCCAGGTGCCCTTCAACCCACAGGGCTTAAAATAGCCCAGAAGTCAGGCTGACCCCCAGTTCAGCTTTCCTGAACAGGGTGAAACGTGGCCTCGATTCTAAGCAGAGACGTTATCTCTGTCCCCACACTTCAGCAGCCACTGGCCTTGTTTTGCAAGAACAGTTTTGTTTCCCAATCTTGCTGGATGGGGTTTATCTCCCCAGGCACCTCCACCCTTTTTCCCATTCAGAGTTTCTGGGGCAGCAAGGGAACAAGATCTTTTGCCAGTATATCCCACTCCCTCAGGTTAGTGCAGTAGAAGGGGGAAGCCTAAAAACCTTCATGGAAACGAAGGAGCCTCAGGAATGAACTCAGAAATTGAGAATATATGAGTGTGTCTCAAGATCCAGGGAGAGGGTTGGCAGATTATGTGGAGTTTAAGGGTGTGGAGTTTATGGGGCCACAAAATTCCACACTTTGAATCCTGTGTCCAGCTCTGGGCCCCTCGCTCCAAGAAAGACATTGAGGTGCTGGAGCATATCCAGGGATGGGAATGGAGCTGGGGAAGGTACAGCAGCACCTTTGAAAGAGCCTTTCCTTCCACAAGCTCCTGGATACAGGAGGTTCCTGTCCTGGGACAGGGGGTTGGAACAAGCTGATGATCTTTCAGGTCCCTTCCACCCCAAACCAGTGTGTGATTTGATGTGTCACTCTGAGTGGATTCAGCCAATAATTCTGAATATTGCAGACATGGGAGAAAACCCGTTTAGGCTGAGAACTGCTGTGAACTTGAAAGCAATAAAAGGCAAATTCATCAAAGAAACTCCCAATTACTGCTGGCCCAGGGCTGTGCTGCAGGGAGGGAACACCGGGAACAGCGTGTGAACCCAGTTCGGCTGACGGGGGAGTGGGGAAGCTGCACTGGGGGCACTGCCCTGGGTTTGATCCTGTATTCCTGGCTGTCACTGTGGGGACTCTCCTGGGGCTGGCCTGGGGCTGAGAGAGCCCTGAGAGGCTGCCAGGGCTCGGGGGGAGAGAGGGAAGCGGAAGTAAAAAGCGTTCATGTTATAATTTCTTGTAGCAGCCGTAATTCCTCCTCACGGGGCAGACCCGGGGATGGGGGTGGGAAGGGGCCCTCCTTTAGTTTGCTGACCCTTTATTTTACCCGCAGGGGAGTGAACACCCCCTTGTCCCATCCGTGGCTGGGACATGGAACATGACCTGTTTTCCCCACCCATCCCACCCCGACAATCCCCATTATCCCTGAGGAAAGGTGCCCTGGACTGGGATGCCCCACACGGAGCTGCCCTCCGTGCCTCCCTTCCCTTCCTTCCTCCCTTCCAGGCTGGATGCATTCCCTCTTCCTGGCACCCTGAACATGCTTCCCACTCAGAGCCCTTTGTTCCCATGCCAATATCCATAAAAACTGGAAAACCAGCCTGTGCCCCCCCTCCCAGCAGCACCCCTGGAGCTCCCGGGGCTCCAGCGCCCCGGTCACGGAGGGATGTCCCGGTCACAGAGGGATGTCCATCTTTGGAAGCGGCTCTGCTCCCCAGCCCCGCTCCCCCTGCCCTCGTGGGAGGCTTTTGCCGTGCTCTGTGGCTGCTCCTACGTCACTTGTTTTGCAGAAGCTCTCGCCAGCTTCCTGCTGAGGAGCTGGGCCTGCTGACGTGCAGGGAACAGCCACGTCAGGCAGGGCCGGGAAGGGAAACGCGGCCCTTTTTTGGGTGCAGACGAGAGCAGAGTCCACTGGAGAGCACAGGGGAGGGCTGAGATTCGGGAACAGCTGGGCTCTGTCAGTAACTCAGCACTAAGGGCTTAAACAACCCCCGGGATAAACACACTCCAGGGCTGGCAGACCTCCCTCTTTTTTTTTTTTTTTCCTCAGCTCAGCACAATATTTTCCTTTCTCTTTTAAAAACGTTGTTTCGCTGCTAATAATTAATTGGAGTGGAATGCTTTTCCAGGGTTATATTTGGATTTGCTTCTCCAGTGGTGCTCCCCCATCCCACCCTCTCTAAGGCAGCTGTGTCGTTTTTTGGAAGTGGAAAGGGTCGTTTGCCCTCCACAAAACTTGGGAGGTTCGTGTCCCGAGGCAGAGCCTAAACTGGGGCACTTTTGGGGGATCCAGCAGGCTGTGTGTGTGGAGAAAAAAGAGCTGGAGTAGCAAAGCAGAACCACTTCATAACACACCTTCAGTCTGGGGCTTCGAAATGCCTGGAAAAGGGGGATTAAAAAAAAAAGGGGGGGCATCAAATCAGAGCACGCTGACAGTGGTGTGTTATTCAGAGCGGGTTATATATTTGCTCAGGTGTTTGGAAATCTGAGCAGTTTACAACAAGTCTTTAAGACAGGCTGAAGTCAACCCCCCACCTGACTGCTCCTCAGCTCCTGGGAAAACCCCAAGCCAGACGCAGAGTCCCTGGCAAGGCACCTTTCCCCGGCACACACGTCCTACCTGCCCGGCAGGGCTGTGCTCTCCCTGCCTCCCCTGCAGCTCTGACGTGGCTGCAAAGTTCCTCCTTTCATGTGGGTGGCTGTGAGATAAGACACACGCTCTGCTCTGGGCCTACGTGGCATCGCTCAAAAAAACCCAAAGAAACGGGGGGAAAAAATCCACCTCCCAAGGTTCCAGGGCTGGGAGGAGGAGGAGGGAGTCACCTGGGAACAGATCCCACCCCGGCACAAACAGCCCCAGCTGAAGGACAGTCACGGTGCTGCTCAGCTGGAAAGTCCCCGTATCCCGAGCCCGATCCAGGAGTGTGTTGCCATCATTGGGATCACACCCAGGGCTTTCATCTTATCTGGGAACCTGCTGAGCAGGGTCAGAGAGCAGGAGGCAAAGTGGGTCCATCAGGAAGGCTGCTGGTTTTCTCACGTTGGCCGTGGTGTGGTCAGAACCTTTTCTGTCCCACGTGTGATGCCTTTCTTTGCATAGTTAAAGCTGCATAAAGTGTCATTAGGCAGCCCCGTGTAATTAAGACAATCATGTAAGGTAAGCACCCCACAGAGTAATTGTGGCCAATTTTTCGCATACCCAGGGGCATTTATAGAGTCCAAGGTGGCCCTTCAGATGATTTACTTGCTTACATGTCTCTGAAGCACTCAGATGCCTCTAAAGGCCTCAGCTTAGGTGTGTCTCAGGTGACACCTTTGAAGTGGACACCCTTGTTCTGCTCCTGCTGGGAAAAAGCTGGCTGGAGAAGAACTCTTTTTATTTTCTTCCTTGTTCCTTAAAAAAAAAAAAAAAAAAAAGAGGAGTTTTTTTGTCTTGTTTTAGTTCTGAAGGA